GAAACATTCTAGATGACTTTCTAATGACAATTTATGCAATGTTTATATTTACACAGACTCATTTCTAAACTCATTTATGGTAGTTTAAGGACATTAGCCTGTGATTATTATTGCTGTGGAGCTCTGTTATACACTATGACACACCAACAATATGGATCTCCTACAAAGAAGGGTCAAAGGGATTTGGACCCAAAAAAATGGACTGTTCCTCCTAAATAGGGGCACTTGGGAGGTATGTAATTTGGTGCAGAATATATTTTAGTTATACTGCAGTCAGTCTTTGTTGTAGTTCTAGATTTTCTGTCAGCTGTAGTGTAAGAATAGTCCTTACTATCAAGCAGTAAACATGGATGTTTAGTACTGAATCCATAAATCGTCTATAATACAGTTTTAAAAAGGAAATTCATCTGTTTCTGTACCTCTAGCACAGTCCACAGTTATGAGGAGGGACTTTTTTTTCTGTTGTTTAGATTCTGTATTAGAACATAACACGAAAATACTTGATTGTAAGTGCAAAGTTTAGAGTAAAAAAAAAATAAAAATCAATAGTAGTATAGGATTATAGTTCCTAGTTACTTCCTGTGCTTTGGTTAATAAAAATTTTCTTGTATATTATTGTAAAGTAGTCAGGTTGAAGAATGTGGACTCCAACCATTTTTATGATAGCCCCACCCATTCTTCAGTCAGCATAGCACTTTTGCTAAAAACGTATTATTATTTTTTTACAAACTTGCAAGAGTCCATATTACCCTTATAAACTGGTAAGCCAGTTTGAGCTAGACTGAATTAAACAGCTCAGTTTATTAAGAATATGCTCTTCTGGCCTCTATCTTCTATTAGGCCTTCAGCTTCCAACCCTTCTAGATTAACAATGACCTTTTGAGTATAAAATGCTACATTTACCTTAAAATAAAAATCCAACTACGAATGTCTATAATCGATGTATTCTGCGCTACAAAATGTGTGAGACATTGTACTTCTGTCCCATTCTTGTCATGTCTGGCTTTGTGCCCAGAACGATTTCATTTCCAATGCATGTTGATTACATTTGCACTAGTTCAAGAAATGACTGAATCACCGAGTACATTTTGTTTCAGTTTTTATGCAGTTCGACTGCATGGAAAAGTGTAAAATGTGCAGTAGATTAATTTAGCGTTGATGGGATGCGCAGGAAAAGTCAATTAGTATTAAATAAGAAACATACAGATTACAATCAAACCATAATGCAGCTCCTAGTTAAAGTGGCATAAATCAGTAAAAGATGCATTAATGATGTGTTTTTAATGAGGTCATTATTGTTAATGAATTTTTTTTTCTGTAATCATTAGTATTGCCAATGCCAAATTTGCATTGCTTTTAGAACACATTTATCTAATTGGATAATAGATAACGTTCCATTTTCCTTTCTTTTTATTATCAAAGTTGCCTGTACAGAAATATACATTTGGGGACGGAGTTGGTAATTACATCTAAGCTGAACTTTAACAAATGATAGAACTTCGGTTGGCCTTTCCCACACTGTACAAACAGGTCTAAATCCATGTATTGTTTGCACTAATTACTTTGTCTTGGAGGCATGAAGACAGGAGGACTATGGTATCTGGAGGCTGGAGAAAAGTTTGCACATTTATTTTAGTGATGGGAAGGGAGCACATAAGAGGTAGCTAATTAAGAAAGGTACAAGGAGTGAGATTAGCATTACACACAAATACATTCATTTTTAATTTAACAAGAAACAAAGAGGGCTTACATCAGATCTATGTATACAAGTAATTTGCTTGCAATCTCTATACTAAATTGAGTAATAAGACCACTTAAGGTTGTTTTATCATATCAATATTATTAAGATAGTATTACATGGCTAAGACTAAACAGTGAAAATGCAACAGACACATCCCGATGAAGGCCACTGGAATAGAAAACTGAAGACAATAACAGGGAACTTGTTCAAAGTAAATGGTACTAATTTGTAATATAGCAAGATTTTCTATACAGATTTGTCCCCAAAGGTGATTCTAGCATATACACACTGTACTCCATATTATTTCATGCAAAGAGCTATAAATATCGTGTACAATTGATTAATGGATTTCCTGCGATCATGCTGCCACTGGAAATTTTCCTTATCACACGAAAGTAAAATTTACCTCCTAACCTGCAGAGCATTGCATGGATCATCCCAATGATATGCTAGCTTATTCCCGGTGACCTGTACTAAAACCAGGAAGAACTTAATTACTGACCAAATTAACAGGTCCCCTGAGCTGCTCTGATCATAGGGAATCCTCCTAACACAGGGGTGCGAAACCTTCGGACCTCCAGATGTTATGGACTACATCTCCCTTGATGCTTTGCTAGCATTATGGCTCTAAGAGCATTATGGGAGATGTAGTCCAAAACATCTGAAGGGCCAAAGGTTCCCCACCCCTGTCCTAACAGGAGCTACCTTACACCATCTAACCTAGCCTCTCTAATTAATACTGACACCACTACTGACTAGAATAGCAGGGCTGTAATTAAAGGGCTCCTCCAACCAGAAAACAGTATTTTAAGAAAACACTGGTTTTGGTCCAGATTCACCTCCACTGATCTTGCTTGAGGATGAATGATGTCAGGTAGGGTAGGCTGAAGGAAGGACATGGTTGGCACGGATGGGAGGCCATTGGCTGTCTAGCACCCACATGATGTGTGTGCTTGTGTCAAATGACAATTATGCACAGGACTGACATTAGCCAGCCTGGATATCTTAAACCCAAATGACGTGTCCATTGGTAGAATTACACCTCCAGTAGCAGAGGTGATAAACTCTGCATGTGCAGCATTTCATAGCAAAATGCTGCACATACAGACTGCAGGCACTATGACCACTTCAAATCAGAGAAGTGGTCATAGTGCTTGGAGTAACCAAATGAAATTACAATTTTGTGAACCAAAATAAATCTCCATTGAAAACAGAGGGCACCAGTGATGCAATGCCACAAAGCCTAAGGTGCTACCTCTTGGATATAAGGAGGTTCCCTTAGAGCACTGCGGTAGAGTACTGCTATACTGGCCTACCTCCAAATGGTAAACATGAGTTATTTTCCACTGCTCCAGATTACCCTTTAATCATTAAAGGCCTCAAAGGAAATAAGGTTACTACACAAGTTAACTTCCACACTCCCACAGTTACAAAATTAAATGTTAGATTAATCAACAGCCAACAACAAAATGTGTTTAAATTCATAAAAATACAGCGCACACAAAAAGAGAATAAATGGTATAGACAAGCACAACAAATAATATGGGAATGACACGAAAATTCTTCCTCACAATCCCTGACTTCTCCATATAAAATAATCCAGTGAGGTTGGGGTATGGATGTTACACAGCTTGGCCCCAAAACCTGAACTGCCCAAATTTAGATGTGTGTCTTCCTTTAAGCATCTCACAAACAAATTATTTTGTTGAGCCAGTTAACTGGAATTGTATTAGCTGAACAATAAAAAGGTATCAAGAAGTACAGCCCACTAAAGGGCAAGATGGGAGCATGCATCTATGCATCTAAAAAGTATTTGCATTGATGGAGGAAACAAAATAATTTTACCCTTGGGGAGAACTATGATAATCATTAGGCCAAGAGTCACTTCTTTTCGCGAATCCAGGGACTAATTGCAGTCCTTAATGGTCTGTCAGCTTGTGATGATTACAACACAATATTTTTAATTACACAATACAGATGGAAAAAAATGTTAATAAATGCAATTTCTTAATCAAATCAACATGGCCAGTTGTGTTTTAATTACTAATTGTTGTGAGTACTCATAGCATCTGCTGTAGTTTAACTGCTGTGGGGCTAATTCAGGCAGAATTACTGTTGTGAACATTTTAATGGCTGATGGTCCTTTTTTTTTTTTGTTCATTCTTTTCTTTTCCTTTCCTTAAATGAAATGCCAAAGCTTAAATAAAATCCAGTACAGTCAACTCTCCGGAGTATATTTGTATCTATACGGAAAGATTCTGTTTTTGGCAGTAAATCACGTTTCATTAAAAAGATTCTCATTATCACAAAAACTGGAATGTTCTAAAAGAGAAACATTAATCTGTGTAAAGACATATAAATAAGATGTTAGATATGTAAGCCTTGAAAAATAAACATTTCTTCTATAGGAAATGTAATTGCATAAATGAAATATTAATGAAAATCTAATAAGCATGTTTGACTATAAAATGTATGCAGAGGTGGATAACCACAGAAAGGGAATCATGGGAAATGTAGTCTCTAACAGCTTGAAAACAAATGCTAAGCGTTCTTTGCCTTAGATAAGTTGTAATATATATATTTATTAATTAAGACAGGGTTAAACAAAACTCAGGAACTGTAAGTCTATGAGACACATTTGTTGCACTGCATCATTCTACATAGTACCAGCCTACTAGCCACATCAAATATATGGGTAGACAGTGGCATTCCTTCTGCTCCATTTGGACATCTTTTTTCTTATTGCAACTATATATTTTTTTCTTTAGGTAAATATTCTTATTATGATGTGGGTGTTTAAATGTATAGGTAAGATACTGGAAAAAGAAAACTAAATGTGATATACACATTAGACATGTGCAATTCGTTTCGTTCCGAATGCAAATTCGGCCGAATTTCGGAAATTCTGACTTTTGGCTGCTTCCAAATGTCCAAAGTGCCGAATTTCAGAACGCCGAACATAATTGCAGAAGTGCCGAATTTCAGAACGCCGAACATAATTGCAGAAGTGCCGAATTTCAGAATGCCAAACCAAACCAAATTGCCGAATTTCCGAATTGCCGAATTTTGGAAGTGCAGAAGTGCTTTGGATTTCTGAAAAGTGGCAAAACAGGAGAGGGTTGGGGTTAGTGGTTGGGGTAGGGTTAGGGTAGGGTCAGTGGTTATGGTAGAGGTAGGGTTAAGGTTCGAGGTAGGGTTAAGGGTAGAGGTAGGGTTAGGTTTATGGGCAGGGATAGGGGTAGGGTTAAGGGTTGGGGAAGGGTTAGTGGTTGGGTTAGAGGTAAGGGTAGGGTTAGTGGTTGGAGTAGGGTTAGGGGTAGGGTTAGTGGTTGGGCTAGGGGTAGGGTTAGTGGTAGGGTTAGGAAAACCCTAACCCTATTCCTAACCCTACCCCTAAACCAACCCTAACCCCACCCCTAACCAACCCTAACCCAAAGTCCTGAAGTTCCAAAGTTCCGAAGTGTCAAAGTGCCGAAGTTCTGAAGTGCCGAAGTGTCGAAGTTCCGAAGTGCCAAACCGAACTGCACCGAAGTGCCGAAGTCCCGAATTTCAGAATGCCGAATCAAACTGAATATTTTTCCCATGCACATCCTTAACACATGTGAATGTTAGATGTGGCCTTCCTGTGTGGGTGGTGAAAGTGTACCTGACGGGAAATATATTTTACATGGGTGTAGTGTGCGTGTTTTTGTATTTTGTAGCACTTAATAAATGACCCCTACAAGCAGAAAATAATTTGTAGAGGTATTTCCTGCACAAATGCTAAAATTACCCATGCAGACATAATGGTGCCTAGCCAATGTGAATGCGTTGGACATCAATTTGATTGCATTTGATTTGGGTTTTGGCTTCACATTCATGCTGTGTATGTCTCAACATTTAAATATCTTTTCTGCATCAAACCTACACCCACTTAAATCCATTTTTTACGAACCCATCTTCGCTTCACAGCAAGTCACGGTCTTCTCCTTATCTGTATAGTATTTCAAGTCAAGTTAGGGTCATCTAAATATTGGTGCATCAGAGATGACTTTATGACCAATGGCAAAACAACTAAGCATAAGCCTAAAATGTGTGGGACAATTCTGTAAGGGTATACACTGAAAAAACCTTTGTACAGCGGGGATATCCATGACGGGAAAGTTTTTTTTTAATGGCATTTTGAGCTATGAATGTGATCAGGACAAAACCCTTGTTCAGACAAACGTGTACTACTGAGCTTTAATCAGCAAAATGCAAGTAACATCTTCAATCTTTATTTCACCCATTGAGGCTTTAAAACTTGGGTCTTATAGAAGCAGCCCTCCCTTTTTTGCAAGGTCGTCAGGTAAACAAAACCATAACTATGAAGTACTTTCTTATCTCGATGCCAATATTGATAATAATGTATTTAATACATATTTCTAAATTTTATTTTGGACTCTACTTCCATGGCTGGAAAAATACTATATTTAACCTTTTCAAGACATTTCAATTTCAATGAGTCAGAATAAAGCAATCTTCACTAACATATACCAAAACAAATACAATTTGTATAGTTAAGCCAAATATTTCAAGATACTATTATAGCCACTTTCTAAGAGGTAGCATTCTCAACTGTATTATATGTGTGGACAGACCCAGGGATCACAGAGAATACATAGAGAGTATAAGCTGGACTGCTTTTGTTTCTGATGGCGCTCAATCACTAATGAAAAATGTATCCTGTAGGCTATTTAGCAATCATGGCAAATCTATACCTCCTTGGATTCTATATTAATCTCTTCATGACGAGGGCTATTTTATAACTTGAGGATATCAGCAATTTTAACATATTTTTTTTACGTGGGTTCAACCGTAATTTCGTCTTTTTTCATTTAGTGCATGCACACATATTGTGTGTTTTATTAAAGGAGAATATTGTAAGCTTCTATATTTACAAGCTTTTAAAAGGGAATAACCCTTGGTATAAGGTAATTTTGTAAATGCAGAAATTGCTCACAAGAAATATATATACAAATTAAAAGTTATCATTTATTTCATATATTTAAAATGGAGAGAGAAGATTTATTTTCACCCTATGAGGGGTGAGTGCTATCGTGAAAGAATACATTTAGTGATTGGGTAAACCCTATGGTGAAGGAAAATACACGAAAACAAAGAGAGAAAACCTATTATGTACAGCTGTACTCTATTGGGCTAAGCTTCTCTTGTACTGGCTGGAAGCCAGACTGTTTAAAGAGATGGCAACATATATGTCTTGTAGTTGCAACTGTAGAAAAATGTAACAAGTTGTTATCAGGTAAATGGACAATATTTGGTTATGCCCAGTAAAGGGCATAGCTAGCTCAAATAGAGTAACAGAGAAAAAGAAGTAAATGGGAGCTGTCTTGATGCAGGTGCTGGTGATTTTGCACAGATTCTAGGTTGTGCCTTGATAAGCACATAAACTTGTGGCGAGTTATCTCTATTGTAGCTGTCTGCCGAGCGGTAGTAACCTATTCTGTGCCTTCGGCACCTATCTCTTTAATTGAAATAGATATCTACGATAGAGGCAGCACCTATCTTGCAGCAAAATTCCTCACTAACTGTTAATTGGTAATCTAGTAATCTGTGCCTTCAAGGGCACCTATCATGCTGTCAAACTATGTTCCTAAAGTAAAGGCAGCTCCTATTTGGATTTTGATCCGGTAAATAACGGCTCAGTATGACACCAGCTTCCCTTGAGTGTGTCAAGTGAGCATAAGGTTTAAGTAAGCCTGTCAGAAGACAGAGTATCGTCAGCAGGGAGAGCTTGGGTCATTAGTTTGCCGGAGTCAATAATGTCCTGAGCCAAGCCCTGATGTGCGTTTCGCCAGGCAAGCTCTTCAGGAGTAATGAGTGAGTACAGACTCAGGCTGTTTAAATATCCAGTTGAAGGGTTTGGATTGGGTAAAGCTTAATGACCAATTGCTTTATTGAAAGAATGACTGACAGTTATTTGCATTAGACATTAGTCTTATGTCAGTCAGTCAAAAGGGTTCATTCAGACTATTTTACAACCGGTGAGCTTTTTAAGAAAATGACAATAATAATAGGCTGTTGTTCCTGTCAAGGTTGGATGATTAACTTTGAAACATGCAATATAGGAATGCAAAAAGAAAAAGGTCATTAAGCTTGATTCTAATGGGGCTAATGTCTTACATTTAGAAATCCATTTTGCTTCTTTCTGAAGAAGACATAAATTGAAATCTCCTTTCCTGGAGTATGGAAAGGGAGATTTCATAGTTAGTTTTCTGCCAAGTACGTTTTATGGTGAAATAATAAAACAAAACAAGAGAAAAATAAGAACATGCGTTCAGCCACAATTAGGAAAACCAGATCAGTAACCCTATATGGGCATCCATGTGTGCATATGAGAAATACATCCAACAAGGGGTCTACGGTACCTCTCTCCCAAGGATAAATGAGACATGTATGAAAAGGAGTCAATATATGGGAAGGAGAGGGGTGCTCTGATACACATTACCAAGACAAAGTTTATCTAGCACTACAGGGATGTAGAGGGTCGCTGTTATCTGTGGGGAGTGAACTCTTTAACCTTGTCAGGGTCCCAATGGGACAGACCTGATCCGCCTGCAACTGCGGACCCCTCCAGGCCTAACTTGCATAAGCTGGTTTCCAGCTCAGTATAGATACAAGCTCTGTGCATAGTTTCAATGTGACTGAACAGAAGTACTTTCAGTATACCCCAGTGGTAGGAGACATACTTGTTATGGAGCTGAAGTAAGAGAGGTTGAAGGATTCTTCTCCAAGCCAGTGTACTCTGGGTAAGATTATGATCTATTGAGAGTGTGGTGCCTTCAAATTGTTAAGGGGTTTTTATGCGGACTGCTGCGAGAATCAGGGCCTTATCTTGAATAGACTGAAAATAAATGATCATGTCCGCACAGGGACGTATTAGCCACGAGGCAAACAAGGCATTTGCCTTGGGCGGCATTTTCCAGGGGGCGGCTAAAAAGCCGCCCCCAAATGCCCAGAGCAAATGTCTTGTTAGCCTTGCAGCTAACTAAAAATACCGGTCGGTCAGGCGGCGCTTGCAAGGGAGTGGAGCAGAGAGCTCAGTAATCAGTGCTCCTTCACCAGTGCAGCCCCACTGGACCCCAGGGAAATTTTTATTAAAAAAAATAAAATGAGTGTGTTAATGTGAGTGTGTCTGTTAGTTAGTGAGTGTGTGTGTCTGTTAGTGTGTGTTAGTGAGTGAGTGAGTGAGTGAGTGAGTGTGTCTGTTAGTGTGTGTGTGTGTGTGGTAGTGAGTGAGTGTGTGTGTGTGTCTATTAGTGTGTGTGTGTGTGGGTCTGTTAGTGAGTGTGTGTATGTCAGGGAGTGTGTCTGTTATGGAGTGTATTACTATGTGTGTGTCAGTTTGTGTGTGTCTGTGAGAGTGTATGCGTGTCTGCTAGTGAACGTGTGTGTCTGCTAGGGAGTGTATATATCTGTTAGCTAGTGTATGCGTGTCTGTCAGTGAATGTGTGTGTGTGTGTGTGTGTATATTTAGAAGGCGGGGGGGGGGTGCCACCTGAGTTTTGTCATGCGTAGGGCAGCACAAAACCAGGATACACCACTGTGTCCGTGCCTTATGGGACCTTCCCTGCCTCTCTGCATCAGGGCTTCCTTCGTGGGGAAGTGCAAAAAACGTATTATGATGTTCCTGAGCATATTGGTGTTGTTCCGCTTGGTACGCAAGGCCCTGTGTGCCCTTTCAATGTGCCACATGTTGTCTGGGAGGTTGGGCAGTTAAATGCATATTTTTTTATAAAGAACATCAGATTGGGTATTAGTACTTTAACCTGGCGGGCCTTTAACCAAAGAAGATATATCTATATATAAAATATTACTCAATTGAGAAAACACAGATCAGTTATTACATCTACTGTTGCTGTTGGTGGGTTGTCATTTAGCGTACATAATGGAGAGCAGTTTTTTCAGGATGATCCCTGTTTCATATACTTTGTGTATTTGGTCCAAGGGGTGCGGGGTATCTATATTTGTCTCGTTTTCTAGTAGTGATTTTATTTGGAGATAGGAGATTAATGTGTGGTGAGGCAATCTATATTTTTGTTGTAAGTCGGGGTATTGCAGAAAATTATCGTTGTGGTATAGATGTTTATTTAGTGAGCATCCGTTTTGAACCCACGAGCGGTGATCTAGTGTGGGGTTGACAAGATGTAGGTTATATAGTGGAGTCGATAACACCCATTGCGTGGTATGTCTCAAGTGTCATATTGTTGTGTTCCATGTGTCAAGCAGGAGTGCTGTGGTCACGGGCATGTCCGGGGGCTTGGGGCGCATTTGTGGGGTACCCAGAATAGATATTTTATGCCTCTGAGGCATGCCCAGGCCGACTCAATCTCTACCCACTGCGGTTTGTCCTCTACCTTGTGTAATAAGAGGGCTGTGGACATGAGAGCAGCT